TATTATTATTATTATTATTATTATTATCATCATCATCATCATCATTATTGTTATTATTATTATTATTTTGCGATTACCCCTTTACTAAAAGGTTTTATGACGCCAAATTCCCTACATAGGGACTGATAAAGTTATCCTTAATAAATTGATGAGAAAGTTTCCCCCGAAGAAATTTTGCTAGCTGCGAAGCTAGAAACTAATCATGTTGTTTACTCACTGCTTCCACTACCGTGATTTGCTTTAACAATCAAAGAAAAAAAATTGTCTACAAGCAGTGGAGAATGGTACCCAGAAAGTCTCAACATAATGTATGATGAGCTACAGTTTCGTTTTTCTGTGTCATTCGTCCGTGAGTCTAAAATCGCCGAGGTCTCGGATTTTCAAACAAGGGCGTCGGCGTGTAGCTAGACGAGCCTCGCATTTTGCATTCGTCATACATAGGGAGGAGATTTTAACATAATGACATCTACCACTGAGCTACAAAACAAGGACTATACTCTTACCTGCATAGCTTTATCTATTACAGCTTGAGGCAGAGTTCTTAAGTCACCCGTCATTTAAGCCGGACCATTCTTACACTTTTGATTTAATCGTCTGCATTAACGTAATCGTATATGGCTTAAGTTTAATAAAAGGTGTTGAAATGATCGATGGTTTAATTTGGTTTTGGATAGGAAAAAACACCTCGTATTTTCGTAATAAGTACATGTAACCACAACTTCTTTCTTGCCGAAACGAGATCAAAGAGTGTTACATAATCGTATTCCGGCAGAACTTTTTAGTGCAAAGCGTCATAGGGGATGAAAAAAAAAACACACACACAAAAAAACGTTGTTTCAAAATGGTAATAAATTAGCTGATCACGGCGTTAACCTGGGATCAGCCGTATTTTTTGTTTTGTTTTGTTTTTTTCGAAAGGGACAAGGAAAAGAAAAAGAACAAACACAGCAAATCATTAGTATTGTTTCTCGACCAGTCCGGAAAAAAAAAATCCAGAATCTGACTTTTGAACAAGCAAATATGCGCTGCCCTCCTTCCCCGAGATGCGATGCAGGAAGGGAGGGAGGTTAGGATGCAGTCTTTGTTGACCCAAGAGCTCATAATATGCTACAGGCTCACCTCATTGCTTACATCTTCAATTCGAAAACATAAAGCCTCATATGAAAGCAGTTATCATAACTCATAAAACGGATTACCTTTTGGGGCCCCGCAGTTCCTTTTCTTTTTCTTTTCGATATTTTTTCGTGTTAGACTTTCACGTTTAATTATTGTACTTCAATCATTTAAGTACGGCGATTACACGTCCTTTGTATTCTTTATTTTTTATAAGAAAATCGAGGCTGAAATTTGCGAAATTTTAAGAACAATATCAGAATAATTCCGAGGCTGAGATTTTAAAAAGAATATACTTTTTTGTGTTGAAAATTTGCAATTACAACACAATTCAGTATGCCAGTTTAACTAAACCGTATAAAATTATTCCTTTTCTAAACGGCAAAACTGGCCAAAAAGCGACAAAAACAGCACTAGCCGTATGTTCGATGTTCTGATGCCTGCAGGCTGGCTCCAAAATTACTCTTATATCATCCAGACACTAAATACCTTCGAAAACAGAAATGTCATACGCTGTAATATAAGAATATTCACAAGAATATTTTCAGCCTAAAATCGGCAGAAAAATAGGAATATTTAGCCTCGATCAGAAAAACAAAATTGTCATAAAAAATAAAGAGTGTAACTCAATTCCACTGAATATTGAGCCTGGCTGATCTTACGACAGGTTGCTGTTTTTTTCATGTTTCAAATGCTCAACTCACTCTTTCATTGTCTAACGTTCCCTGTGCAAATCGTGATAAGCCTTATGGTGTTTCCAGAAAGCTGCAATAGATATATTTATCACAATGCCCACACAACAGTCTAGTTTGTTTTCTCAAGTGGAAAGCCGTCTTGACAAAGAGACTTGGCGTAACAAGCCGCCATTGAAATTTCTCTGCTTTAGCTGATGTCAAAACACATACTGTCTAGAACAAAAAAGCCAATCTGAAGTCCTGCCGAACACTTTGTCGGCGATTTCTATTCTGTCGGCGTGATTAAAGCGAAGCGATATATTAGCGTGACATTTCATGTGCTGTGCGTCAATAGACTGTTTTCGATATATTAAAATTCCGCTTGGCAGTGAGGTTCAAATGACACAAACAAAGGAAATAAACCGTTTTCGATATATTAAAATTCAGCTTGGCAGAGAGGCTCAGAAGACAAAAACAAAGGAAATTGAATGACCATGTTTATTCATTTCTTTTGTTTGTGTCCTCTAGGCCTCACTGTCAAGCTGAATTTTAATATAGCGAAAGTGGCCTATTTCCCAGTTCGATAAAAGTTCNAAAAAAAAAAAAAAAAAAAAAAAAAAAAAAATAGATAAATACCCGATCTGTAGGGGGGTTACGGTCGTTTCGCATACGAGCTATTTCGCTAACGGTATCCGGCAGGTTCGCTAGCGTTGGTACACTAGATGGAGACCTAGATTATCTAATTTAGGAAGAGAAAGACCAGGAAGGGAAAGAGCGAGACAGAACAAGGTTTTCAATTTTCCTAACATAATTTTACATTAGTCTTCTAAATTCAGATATTACTCGACCACGACTTCAAGTGTTTCGTTCAGTGACTGCCTGTTACACTAATTCAAACAAATGATTAGCACTGATAATAAACACTAATTTTGCAATAAAGTTTTCTAATAAGTATTTTAAAGGAGCCCATTCACGGTACTTTGAGTTATTTTGGCCACGTACAAAATTACCTTTAAATTGAAGGAAACATGAAAATAATGGTTTACTAAAATAGAAAAACACCAAAGAGATAATAATAAACCACACAGGAACAAGAATGGTTAAAGGATGGAGAAGATTAACAAGGATTACAAACAACAAATTTAGGCTAAACGTTTCAAGATATGATTTCCAAACCGTGACACGTAAACGTAAAGCTGGGGTAAATCTCTCCTACACACCAAGGAAGTATTAATGTATTATATAGCGTAAATGTGGGGTAAAGTCGCGTAAACAGAATTTTACAGCAGCTTTACGCAAAAAAAACGCCACCGAATTTCAATTTGTTTGCTAGAGGGTCCGGGGCATGCTCCACCAGAAACGTTTCGTATTTTTAACGTTCCCTTGATTCTGAGAACGTATTTCTCACAATCTCAGCGCCATGCAAACGTAGCTAGAATATCTAAGATGGAGTCATCACTGCAGCTTTCGCTTCCTGAAGGGATGATAATGGATTGAAAAATGGATAAATTAATAGTTGTTGAATCGATTACATACTTCACTAACTACTGTAGTCTTGAGTTCACCGTTTACTCAGCTTGTCAACAAGAAGGAGGCGCTGTGGATGCTTCCGTGCCAAACTGTCGATTGTTGCACTAACGTCAGTTTGCCTATTGTTATAGTTGTTATTCAGAGCAAGACTAGACTCTCGCTCCACAGACTTCTAAGTTCGAAAGCTAACAGAATGCAGATTCTGCGGTACGTTACAATCCAGAGGCCAAGATACGTTAAATATTTAGCCAAAACATTGCGCTGTATTTGACAAAAATTAGCATCAAATAACAAGATAATCTTTCAAATAGTCAGGAAATAGTGTTAATTAACCGTCTCATCTAAATATATGAGTTGTTTTCTCCAGCGTATCGACATTCAATAAGTTGAAAGCTAAGTAAATGTAGATTCTTAAGAAAATTATGATTTACCGGTCAAGGCGTCACGCACTAAGAAGCTTAACTGGCCAACATTCACTACGTGGCCTCTATACACTTGTCGACACCATCTTGAATTTAGAACATGAGATTGAAACGGTCTGTCACACCTTTTCAAACTCGAGATCGAAAGCTCGTGAAAATTATACGTATCCGTAAGTCATGATAGCAATCCCTTAAGGGGGTATGGTACCCTAAAATATGGCGATGTTCATGAAAAATTCAATTTCTTGGAAATACAAGACTTAAGACCTTTGAGGACTTGTCAAAAACATTTTGAAACGATCTTGCCGAATTTCCTTCCAGATGAGTGTGAAATTTAAGGAAAGTACACAGTGGTATACAATTTTTCACGTAGCAACGGCCATAGCAACGACTGTTTACTATAAGAATGTGACCAAAAATATAGATTATTTTTAACTTATATGAACGAAACTATTTAGAA